CAGAATTTGTAACTCCTTACTTTGGGCACTATAAAAAATATTTGATTGGGGAACTTCACGTAGCCCACCACCGTCTATGAAGTTTCTCCCCTTCCATATGGTCCATATAGTAGACTTCAAAAAAAATTGCGATCCCTGACTCCTGGTATTTTTGAAAATTTCATTTTTACTAACTATTTTTTAAATTTTTCATTGGGTATTATTTTTTTTAATTAATAGTCATTTATATTAATTGTATTTAATAATTGTTTTCATTAATATTAATTTAATCTTACCAGTTTTTAGAACTTCTTAATTTCACCGGAATAGGCTTTTTTAATTGAGTGAAGGATAATTCACGTAGCCCCCTCCCACTTTGTTCTATTAATTCCAAACCTTCACTTATATTTTACCTTACTATCTCATAGCGTACTTATGTACCTACCTATTTTTGTTGTGTATAGTGTAAAATATACGAATTTTCTTGTATATAAATATTTTATTATGTTTTAAAGTCTCTTGAGGGGGTTCCAGTTTTACCCCTTAAATTACGCCTCTGTAGTATACTGCATGGCGAATTCCAAGGTCTTATCATTTTAAATGCTGATATAAATTTATTATATACGCACCCATTATTATTATATACGCATAACTATGAATAAGATAAGATGGAATCTAAGCTATAAGTATGTTGTTCGTATATTTTACACTAAGGTTATATTGAAAGTTAAACGTTAAGAAGAGTTTTTCTTCTGTAATTTTAAACAGTGAAACGCTTTACTTATGTATAAATAGGCTTAATAACAAATTATTGTTCATGTTTAAATTAATAAAATTAGTACTTCATTTTATAATACTCTATATTTATATTAAACTTGAATACGAGTTACCGATGATTTCATTTAAATTTACCTATGATACTTGTAGTATTTGAAAAGCTGTTGTTGGATGTATAGGAAATAAATGAACTACTGAGAACTAACGATTTGATTTGGTTGGGTGGTGGGTATTTGTGACCATCGTAGATTAAGAAGTTACAAGTTAAACTTTAAATGCGTCATTTCTATACGTGCTACTACTTATAAGACAAATTTGTCAAAGTTACACTATTTTATACATTTAAACGCAATGATGGAATGCGTTGAATAAATTATTCTATTGATATTCAGAATTACAATATTTATTAATAATTTATATTTTTGTTTAAAAATTATGAATAAATAAGTATCAAAACTCTGAGATTGAATAACTGGGTGTATAAGCATTTGCCTCGCTAAGAGTATGTTTACCTTCAGATTAAAGTATGTTAAATTATATAAATTTCATGTGAAACTTAACAAACACAAAAGCTGTCAAGATTTATAGCTTAAAACACTTTCACTATTTTTATTGTTTTTTCACAATATTTTTTTGACAATTGTACTTGGTTTTTAATTATACAAGATTAGATATAAGGTTTTTTATTACAAATCAATGCACTTTGATGTAACAACTATGTGATGAATATCTAATTCGCTCTTTCAGTTAAATTAAATTATTCTTATATAAATATCTATGAAAAAATAAAATATATTTTAAAATAACCATTTATAGATATGGATAAAGATAAAAAAATTATACTTTTTGGCTTATAAAATTTTGTTTTATAAGAACTAAGAAAGATTAGTGCTCCAAAGTCAGTAAATTATTCAAAAAGTTTCGCGTTGTGAAATTTTAGTAATTGTATCATCAAATTTTAAGTAAAATTTATATTTTTTGAATTAAGATTCAGTGTTTTTTACTCAATATTTTGATTAGTATTAATTTAATTTTTTAACCTAAGTTTCACTCTGAATTGGTTAGATATATGAATAAACGACAATTATTACTATAAATATTTTCGAATTTTAAATAGTCACAATACATATGTTTTTCTATCATACGACACTTAATAATGAATGAAATTATCATAGGTATGCTTATTAGAACCGTTTTATTTTTTACGGAATCAAAGAAGTTTTACTTTCTCGGAAATGATAGTTTTTGTCTCTTTATTTACTTGCTCATAACGTAATATATATGTATCATGCAAATTATTTATTAGATTTATTCACCGTCAATTTCTATACGTACCAGCTACTTTTTTTTCTAATCATTTGATTTATAGTTGAACATGTATCAATTATTAACATGTGAGTAACACGGTCTAGCTATTCATATTTGATATTTTCTCACTATAGTCGGCAACTAAAAAAAACGAAAACTATAATAAGATACAAGTATAATATTATACCCTTAAAACACTCAATGAGATTAATTGTAATGTATATTGCACCCAAGTTTAAATTCATGTGCAAATAAATAAATACTAAATTTGATAATAGTATTTAATAGATAATTGCCGCAATTAAGTATTTTACAGAGTATAATCTATTTAATACACTACGACTAAATATCCGAGCTCAAAACTGAAGTACAATTTAAACGATTGGCAATTTTTACATCAACGTGTATAATACATACAATATATTAATTGATTAAATACATATTATATAATATTGTTATATACGTTTATTGTTTCTCTAGAGCAAATTAAAACTTTAACTCAAGTATTTTTAAATAATATTTTATAATTATTACACTAGAAACACACTTAAACTATATTACTATATTAACTTATAAATATCTTAAACTGTAGTAATTGATAAAGTGACATGCGTAATCAATTAATGTATGGGTATATAATAAATACCTCAACAAAAGCTTGAATTATATAGTGATGTGAATTTTCATTGTGGTCGTTAATGTATTGTTCTTCAATCATGTTATTTTTTTCGTATAGAATTATTATATTAAATGGATAATTTTATATCCCTGACCTGAACATTTTATACAAGATCAATCACGTGCAGTGGTGTTCTGTGTTTATTGTAATTAAAAAATATTTCATAATTTATATTCATGTTACTTTTTTCAAAATTTTTTTTCATTAAATAAACGCCTAATATTGCATTTTAAAGATTTTTTAACCAATGTGCATTAATTTTTTTTATAACTCGATTACTTACTCTACATTTATATAAAATAATAAAATATACAATACATTATTATTCAATATTACTTCGGCCTTCGATAAGATCCTTTTTTTCGCATTGACTCATCATCGATTTTAAGTATTTAACAACCCATATGTGTAATACTTACAATAATATGACCATAACATTTCCCATTCGGCTATAAATATCAATGCATCCATCCCACAGTGTTCATAAGTTCAATTTGTGTCCCACTTCCTTTACGATCACCTTACCGAATAGTTTATGTGACGAAGCGGAAGGACATACATTTGAACTCAGTGATGTCTGAATTTTATCGCAAGAGTTTTTTTTTTTTACTCAATCATTATTAAATATAATATATTTGGACAAAAATATATTTTCTCACAATCAACAACCGATAAAAATGTTCGTACACAATTTTCAAGTATGCAGTTATCGTTTTGATGTAGTGGCGCCTGCCCGCTGTCACTACACCTTGGAGTTATTTGATAAAATCCTCTTAATCCATTTAAATCATCCAAAGTCTTTAATCTCAAAGTAGTTATGTGGAAATTCATTATTTCTCGTTTACTTTCGATCTACTTCGGTAGTCTGTAGGTCCAACATCATACATATGGACATTCTTTTGAACCCTTAGACTACGTTGATAAGTCAAACGGCGATGGTCAAGTATCAATATATAACATTCTGACGCAGCTCCGTACAAATTAGAGATAACATAATATGTTAGTATATTATACTTGAGTTACGGTGAATGCGTTTATTGTACATAGTTAATGAAAGACAAATGTTTTCAAATACTGCAGTCTTTTTATATTTTATCGGAATTTCGGTATAGCCTTATGTATTTTTCGTAAATAATAAGAAATTATTAAATAATAGTTAAATTTTGGAATTTCAACAATAGAACGAATCATCTTAGCCGGAAAAATTATGCAATATCTACAATTGTTATTTCAACATTTTTATGGAATATGTATCATATACATTATTATATAATGGTGCATTTGAATAAAACATAATATAAAATAAATAAATAATATACAAATAACTGGATAAATAAGTGGAACAGTATCTACTTCAGTTCCTATAATTATAATGCGAAATTATTATTATTATTATTATTTTAATACTATGTAGGAGCTATAAGGAATTTATTACTTAATGATAGATTTAATTACATACTAATATTAAACTATCTCAAAAAACGTTAAATGTTACCAATTTTGGATACAATCTTTTTAAAAAGTAAATTTAAAAAGTAGTTCAATGATATAATTCACATTCTCCAATGAAAATCTGAATGAATTCCCATTTATCATTACTTATTTTCAAAATCAATATATTCAAATTCATGATTCACTAAATATATTGTATTTCTTAAAAACAAAATTCAATTCAAAGGATCTTTTCTAGGAATATATTTTTTCTAAGCACTACACGATTCTACCAATATATTTGCAAAATGATCGATACGTATATGTTATGCTGAATCTGTGAAATTATCGATTTTATGAAATCAACATCGTCGTTCCTGAGTTAATATTCGGCAACTGTAAGGGAATAAGACTGCAGATTATCTGCATGATATCCATGTAATGAATGAACAAAAATACTTCAAGAAACGGGCAATTAACATTTTGGGAATTTCATGAAATGAATAAAAAAATTTGATAATTTCAAAATCTTAACATATCATATTCATCGTCACGATCGTGACGCAGGCTAAGTAAAAAATAAATGAAGAAGCGGCAGCGCGATATGTATTATCTATATTTGGAAGCAAAGTTTAACCAATTAAATCGTATAAAATTGATTGCTTCGTACGCAGTTCATCAACTAATGAACCACATAACATATTTATTTTAAATATACAACAAAATGACAGAAATATTATGCAGATTATGGTTTTGTAAAAATTAAGTTGATAGATAAATGGGAGTCATAAAGCAAAATGTGACAAGTTTCATGAACAATAACATAATGAATAATGTCGATGGTGAGTTTCGTAATGTACCGCCGACTGATTCGTACCTCCATTATGTTCCCACCATATTCGTACATGCATGTGAGTGCGAAAACCATCGTCGACAGTCGGAACGTTGTAGCTGTCACCTCTGTTGTGTAACCTGTCCAGTGGCGCCCACTTAGGGTACCAAATGGTGCAATTGAGGGCCGTGAAGTTAGAACTATAATGTAAGCAGAACTTTTCAAAAACCTTCAAAAAATGTTCAAATAGACTTGTTGGACATTGTTGGATACTTGTTGGCATTTGTTGGACCACACATTATTTTTTATTTAAGTCTTACATTTCTTAGCAATTTTAATTTTTGAATTTATAGATTAATGATATGAAATTTTAAGTGTATTTAAACTACAAAAGAATTTTTTCATTTTTATCATTATGGTTATGTATGCATTTTTTATTTTTTACGTAAATAAATAAGGTTTTTTTTCTGAATCAACGTTAAATTATTTCTGACGGATGTGACCCTTCCTCTAGTAGGTTAGTGACTCCCAGATTGAGAAACGTTGGTCTAATTAAATGCTCTTAGCATTTAATTTTTTTTTTTTTAATCTTATTCATTTTTACACAGAAAAAGTTTTGTTGTAAAATACTAATTGGTTTCTTATACGTACAATACAATATATATGATAGTGAATAAATCTCACGTGAGGAGGGCGAGGTCAGCATAGTAAGTGGATGTTATATACGAAAAGTATAATATATTATTTAATAAAAATATAATGTCGCGAAATTATACGAGCATATCAATACATAATAACATATTCAATACATTATTATACGATATGGTAACATAATATTGTAAAATAACTTATGTAAAATAATAATAAAAATTTTACAAACTTCTAACAACATAGCCGTTCATATACATCACTGTTAGTTACAAACATACGCGTTACGAGCAAGTAGGTGCAATATTAACATCATAATTTCTAAGAGTGGGGCTAATGCCCTATTCTAAGAATTTTTAAAAAGTCGGCAATTCTTTGTCCGATGATCAAATGCTAAAATCGGTAAATCGTAAATTTTTATTAACTATTTTGTACTCAGAAATCAAATAATATTCTCTTTTAAATACACGTTCACGGTTTATTAAAAATTGGGAAACACTGGCTCTTCCCCAGTGTTTGGCAATCATTATTACACGAACCTTATAAACTTTATTTTTGGTATATTATATATTTCTATATATGTGATGTTTATAAAACAATTTTATCTCACTTATCTTTTTACTAAATATTGAATATCAGGAGTTTCGTCAATGCATTTTTTTATATCGGTTGAAGTTCAATTTTTTTTTTACTTTTAATTCACCTTAAAAAAACTAGTAACTTTAAATAAGAACCAACATTAATTTCATAATTTTCATGCTTTTAAGCATTGAATAAATAGATCATAGAGTTGACGGTTTAATTTTTGTAGATAATTTGTTAGAATTTGTAAGAAACACATTTTCCGACAACGATTTGGTTTTATTTATTTTTCTCAATTTTAAAAGTTTTTCATAAGCTACTATGTATCTTTCTTTTGATTTTTCAGGCAATAGATTTAGTGAAACAGCATTTGCCATTTTAACCATGTATGGTGAAGTTAATGGTTCACTAAAACTACTGTACTGATTGTCATCTTTCGCCATGGGCGTTCCCGAGGGGGGGGCAAGACGGGGCACTTGCCCCCCCCCCCTGTAATGTTATTTCCACAGCAATTGGTAAAATTCCCAATGAGAAATTAGCTTCTAAAAATAGGTTTACTTATGTTGCTATATGTCAACCCATAAAAACTATCATTAATAATAATCGGATTATTTTATTTTATCGTATTTTTTGGTGCTCACACGGTTATAAATTATTAGCTATTTGCTGTTACATCGAATATATTATCGTATCGCTTACTTGACAATTTACCTATTATTATTATTATACATCATTATTATTACCCTCGCGAGTACTCCCAACAGTTCCAATGCAGCTTTCGTTCGAAACAAGTGTCATCGCGTTCTAGCAGCAATAAAATATACAAATCTCGATAAGGTAAAATCTTTTTATAACATTAATTATGGACTTACGGAACTTTTTTAAGAAACCTAAATTAGGCGATAGTTTAATGAATCGTTAGATAAAACAAAATTTCTGACTATAGAGACTAATTCCACAAGTGCAGTTGACATTACTGACTTGAGTAAAGGTGGTAGTTTTACTGAACAAGTTGAAAATGTTTATGACAAGGAAGTGGCTTATTATAAAAATGATATAGGACACTACTTGGCAAATGTAAATATTGACGATTCTTTAAAGTTTGATATTTTATGTAATCCATGGCTACTTCATATAATTTTAAAAATGATCTAAAATCGGAAAATGGTCATCCATTTAGACACATATGGCTGGAAGAGAATAATACGTGGCTATCATATTCGGCTATTGGAAGCGTAAAAGGAGCTTTTTGTCGAGTATGTGTATTATTTAAGCCAAATATTCACAGAGGTATACAAGAAGGGTTTATAATAAAACCATTTACAAAATATAAAGATTTCCATACTTGTTGTCGATCACATCTATTTTCACAATGGCATCTTGAGTCTACAACAGGAGCAAATGATTTTATAAATGTTATGAAGGGTAACAAATTAAATATTTTAGAACAGACAATTTCAGGGTTACGAAAACAAATAGAATATAATAGACAACAATTAAAACCAATAATTTCAAGCATTTTGTTTTGTGCAACTCATAATCTTTCTCTACGGGGAAAAACATCAACTTCAGGCATATTTAACGATCTTTTACTTTTTCAGATTGAATCAGGTGATGAATTATTACAAAAACATATATCGGAGAATGTGGGAAATGCCAAATATACATCACCTCGAATTTAGAATGAAATTATTTCTATATACGGAAAGTTAATTAAAAATGATATAGTTAATTTAGATAACGCGGCAAATGCTTTTTCTGTTATTGCTGATGAAACTGCAGATATTTCTGAAATAGAAAAATTGTCAATAGGAATTCGATTTTTAGTCAAACACTCAAATCCACCAAAAATTAGAGAAGAATTTTTACGATTTACTCCATTAGAAAAATTAAATGCTCAATCCGTAGCTACAAACATTATATCATTTACGACTGACTGTGGTTTAAATTTAAACAAACTATATGGGCAAGGATATGATGGTTGTGCTACAATGGCCGGACAAGAAGGCGGTGTTAGTAAATTAATTCGTAATAAATACACCAAAACGTTATTTTTTCATTGTTCTAATCCAGTGTTTCTCAACCTTTGTATAATGGCGACACACTATTAAAATACTTCATACTTTGCGACACATAGAAAAAAAAATAAGAATAATAGATAGTATTAAATATTTATAATTAGTTAATAATACATAAACTTATAATATATAATCAATTATAATATATAAAACAACAAAGAAAAATATAACATAGGTAAAACAGCATTTTAATGAAAAATTTGTGACTGATATTTCTTATATAATATATCAATTCGTGTTGAAATCTTCGATAAGGTGACTCTTAACTCCTCTTCGACATTTATTAATCTTTCCCTTTTTTTTTGTTTTTAATTTCATTCAAAGCAGAAATATGATGTCGAAAATGTTAATAATACGGAATGAGCCAATTTTGTTAAGTTCGGATATTCTTTTTTTGTGTATATCCAAAATTGGCTTAGCTCGAACTCATTAAATTTCATTTGAAGAGTGCGATCGTTTTTTAATTTTGCAAGTTCTTCTTTCTCTTTTAATGAAAGATGTGTGGTTTCTAAACTAGGATTAAATGGATTCCTCACCCAATCAAATAATTTCAAATCCAGCGATGAAAAATAATGAACAAGTCTTTGGTCCAATAATGTTTTTGAGTCATTGATAATTGGTATTATTTTATCAGTAAATTTAGTATTAGCAGTTAAAGGAAACATATCCAAATTATTATCATTTACCCTTCTTTTCCAAATCAATAATTTGCCTTTAAATGCAGTCATTTTGTCTGTAGATATTAATAAATTTTGATTTTCACCTTGCATGCTTAAATTTAATTGATTCAGGTGTTCAAAAATATCAGCTAAATATGCTAATTTTGAACACCAAAATTCATCGGATAAATAATCGGAATATTCCATTTGTTCCATTGTAAAATATACTAAAAGTTCTTCTCTAAGTTCATAAAAACGTGATAAAACTCGCCCTTTTGATAACCAACGTACTTCTGTATGAATAATCAATGTATAGTGGTCAGATTCCATTGATTCACATAACTGGGAAAATAATCGAATTTTTTAAGGTCTACTTTTAATAAAATTCACCATTTTTACGACTTCATCAAGTACAATCTTTAATTCATCAACAATACTTTTTGCTACTAATGCCTCCCTGTGTAAAAAACAATGTGTTGTGTTTATATTTGGATTTTGATTTTTGGCAATTGTAATAAATTCTTTAATAGAGCCTGTCATTGATGGCGCCCTATCTGTACAAATACTTACACAAGAAGTCCACGATATACCATAATTTTTAAAATATTTATTTATGACATCAAAAATATCTCGACCAGTTGTTGTCCCAGATAATTCTTTACAACAAAAAAAAACTGACTAACTATTTTTGAATTAACAATAAATCTAATAAATGCCGTTAATTGAACTTTCCCACTTATGTCTGTTGATTCATCAACTTGCAAGGCAAATAATTCTCCACTTTTTATAACTTCAATAACCTGCTCCTCAATATCCTCTGATATATTTATAATCCTACGACTAATTGTACTATCAGATAATGGTATTTTAATTATTTCTTTTTCTGCTTCGACTCCTAACATAGTCTTTACCATAATACGACAAGATGGCATAATAAGACTCTCGGAAATTAAATGAGATTTTTTTTTTGAGCTATCAATTGGGCAATACGAAAACTAGCTTCCTGTGCCTTATCCGAAATTTTCACTGATCTTATAAATTGTTTTGATTGTAGTTTTTTTGAATCTAATAGTCTTCGAAAATAATCAATTTGTTTATTTTGTAACGATTGATGTTTTGTGGTGAAATGGCGGGTTAGCTTATTGGGAACCATTGATTCATTCGACAATTTTTCGTCACAAATAAAACAATAAGGAATAGGACAATGTTCGTCGCCGACCCAAAAAAATCATAATTTTAAATAATTTTCATTGTATTGACGATATTTACCTTTGAATTTTTTAGAAGGATTTTCTTGTTTTTCTTTAAAACTTGACGATGCATTTACAGAAGATGACGAATTTTTTTCTGTTTCCAAATTTTCTTCATCTGTATTCTCTCTTGCTACTTGTATTTTTTAAATCAAAAATTTATCCATTTTATTTTAATTAGTAACAAAAAAATATTGTTGTTAATAAATTAAGAAAAAATCTATTCGACTATAGAAGTAAATGACAACTGAGCATACAAATAAAGTGAGTTATTGATACGGTGCATGTTTTCAGTATAAATATACTATACGTATTCACTGTTTAAAAATAAACAAAAATATCAAAAATCAACATTTATAAATTAAGATGACACACAATAGGCGATTCGAAAGCGATTAATCGTTCAAAATGACGATAATAATAATAACCCAACGATAATAATACAATTTATTTTATGCCGATAGCTGAAAATCTATTTTTATTATCATGGAAATTATATCAAATACCTATTAATTTTTGTAAATAGTTAATAGTGTTAATAATGTTTTTTGTCATTTAATATTAGTACTTCACGCGACACATTTGGACTTGCTCGGCGACACACCGGTTGAGAAACACTGTTCTAATCACAAGTTAAATTTATTGCTAAATGATTTAAATAAAATAATGATTATTCGTAATACTACTGGAACTATAAAAGATATTATAAGATTTTTCCATGAAAGTACGCTTAGACGAAAACTTATACCTAACATACCACTATTTTGTGAAACATGCTGGTCGTCTAAATATAAAAGTATAAGAGTATTTTCAGAACATTTTATTTCAATAATGACAAGTTTAAAATCATTATCAAATAATGAAGTACATTCGAATTCCAATACGAGGCAACAAGCTCATTACTTATATTCTGCAGCCTCAAATTCATCATTCTTAATTTCTATGATAACTATGGCGATGTACAGTGCTATTTTAGAACCTGTGAGAAATATGTTACAAGGTGTGTCAGTAAATCTATATAAAGTCAGTGAGCATATTAATTCATTACTAGTATTGTTCGATAATCACCGAAATGACACTGATATATAACATTTTCCAAACGTTATATAACGAAGTGAAATCAATCGCCATTGATTTAGATATTGTAATTACATATCCGAGAACAGTAAAAAAAACAGTCACTAAGAGCGAACTATGAAACTGAGAGTTGTGAAGATTATTACTGAGTATCAATTTTTATACCATTTATTGAATCAATTTTACAATCTAAAAAAGAACGTTTTGAAAAAAAATTGACAATGCATTTTTACTACAATATCTTCATCCCAACATTTTTAAAAAATTGGAGAAAAAAATGTATTTTGAGAGTATTGAAAAATTTTTTGATTTCTATAAAATTGATAATCTACAAGCTGAAGCAGAAAGTTGGTACAGTTTTTAGCAAAATAAGAACTGCCAAGATATTGATTTCATCGATTTGTTAAATTGTAACTATACGTTTTTTCCAAGTGTAGCTGTTGCTTTGGAAATATTTTTATCTCTTCCGGCTACAAGTTGTATAGTAGAACGTTCTTTTAGTACATTAAGGCGTGCTAAGACATGGTTACGATCAACGATGGGTGATGATAGACTGAGTGGAATATGCATATTGAGTGTTCATAGAGAAAAAGTAAATTCAGATAAAGAAAAATTTATTGAAAATGCACTGACAAAATTTGGTAGAGAATGTCCACGGAGATTGAAATTTATATTTAATGAAAAAGTCTAATGTATTATAATAATATCTAATTGTAATGTTTTAATTGTAATAATGATGAAATATAATAATATACTATAAATAAAATGTATAAAAAAATTTTTATTTTTTTTTTAAATTAATTTTGCCCCCCCCCCCCCCCTAAAAAAATGTCTAGAGACGCCCATGTCTTTCGTATTTTTGCTTGTTTGCGCGCTTCGCAGTCAAACCATTGCTGGTTCGATTGTGTGACGTACTCGCGTCGTTTGGAATAAAAAGGAACACTTAACAAGGATAATTAATGAAATTATAACAAATGCTTGGATAAACGGGCCGAAAGCGCCACAGTAATATTAACAGAAAAAGTAATAATAAATATGATAAATATAAAAATAACAATAAAATCACATATGCTCCAAACGCGTTGTAATAATATAACAAGACAAATTGTATAAAAATAAATGTAATATTTTTAACAAATATAACGGACGGTCTGTCGTTCGATTGGTTATGGCCACGCGACCGTGTTCACACGTGCGATGAACGCCACAACGGGCAGAAGAATTGGTTGATCAGTGGCATCGGTTAGATTTACTTACATTTTGAACATCTTCTGATTGATAATTATAAACAGTTTTAGATACTATAGTTTCTACTCAATCTTCATTTTCAAGGATTTAGACACGTCCTGAAAGACGTGATCAGTTGTAGAAAAAAAGGTGATTTTTTGGTCACGTATATTTGTTAAACTATCAGAAATAATATTGACATAATCTTTATGGCTTTTAGAGACATCAGATATATAATTTCCTTGAGATGTAATTGGCTTAAAATATTTATCGTAGGATTCAGTTTGTATCCCAACACATAATATAGACAAATTATTTAGCACGCCCTCCTTTAATAAATGTATAAACTTTAAAGCAGCAATTCTTAAACTGTGGTCCGCTGCCCCCTGGGTTAAATTAGGGTTATTATTAACCCTACTTAGTTAACTTATCGGCGTCCATTATTTATTACTGCCTATTTAGAATTTGTCTCGATACACTTAACATATTTTATCATATAAAATCAAAACATAGCTACTGTCGTAGGATTCGATTTATCGAATTCCTTTCATATAGTTTTTGAAAAAATTGCAAGAACAGTTAATGCTTGTTTTCTTTTCTCTCCCTTATGTACCCGACTTACGACGAAACCGTTTATCAAATATTGATTATATAATTTGCAACTGCCATCCTCTTCTCCTTAGTGAAATACTTCTTTTTCTTTCTTATTTTCCCTAGCAGACTCACTCTCGATTTAAATCTTCTACTTAACACTCATATAATTTACTTTATCATTAGTTATAATATAAATTCCAGCAGAGGCTTTCTACTTTAAAAATGTTGTACATAGATATCTGATCTGTAACTATGTAAATTTGTAACTGAAATTGAAATAACTGCATTGCTGTGATATCTTTGATAAAATCAAAATAAAAATAAAAATAAAGTAGCTAGATAAATAAATTTTGAGGCAAGAAAAATCATAGGGAACAATTTTCCATTATTCTGACTTTTTTAAGTGTATCTTTTACAAATTGTTCCTTGTATGAAAACATTAATTATTATTAATTCGCTTTAAACCCAAACTTTGTGTAACGACGCTGTGTATTAAAAATTACTAATTACTTAAATACTTATTCTGATTACATAAGATGCTACTATATTAAGTAAAGAATTAGTTTAATGATTGATGAATTTGTTTTATTTAACTTATGAGCAATCATCATATCGTATATTATCATGTGAAATTATTTTTACCTTCTCAAATTTAACAATTGAAAAAAGTTTCAAACATTGATTGAAAATCAAAATACTAATATACATATCTACTATTACAGGTCAAAAATAGTATTTTACTTTTTATTTGTACGTCTACAGTCACTAAAATAAAACGTTACGGTTTAGTGTTCGAAAAATTAGACAGTTCGAAAAATTAGGCAGCTATATAATTATTGTATGAATTTTATATTTATTTTTGATAGGTTATTGAAAATTATTGTTACTTTTGTGTTTGTTATCCAAGCTTCGATTTTTATAAGCTATTATTTCTCATAAACGATTTACAGTAAACAAGTCAAAAAACGTAGTATAGGAAGGCAGGATATAATACCGTTCATCGATAATTATCCGCATTCTTCGAGTGATTAATTTGTAATTACTATTGTTTTAAACGTAAAATACTGGTAAGTTTTCATCTATGGTAGGTAATAATTACTGAATATATTTAAGTATACACGTTCATCCATAAAATTTAAGTTCAAGTGATTTTCGGACAATAATTAACTAACGTTAATTGAATTTGTTCATTGAGATATACGAGTAAATTTATAATTTCATGTGGATATATATTTGTATAAAATAAATAACAACAATATTATAAGAGTTAAATAAAACAGCACAAACATTTTCTAAGTGTTTCTTTTCCAATTTCATGAGTATCTACTGGACCTATTAGAGTGATAGATATGTTTGGCATAACGTGATCGATAACTCTATAAACTTGGAGATTTTTCTTTTTATTATTTGATATTAGATTTTTAATTCTAGCCATCACGTTTTGTTTCTTTATTTCTACACTTTATAAAATAGTTTTGCGTGTTCCAAAATTAATGCTCCATAAAATATGTACCTATTTTATAATAAATGCTTCATAAATCAAATTTGATATTCATACTTGGTGTATTTATGGTATTATCGTTTTGTTTTTTTTGTGATAAGTTCACAACCAATTGTACAGAAATTACTCTCAATCTGTACACGATTTATATCGTTCAATTCCGATTTAAGTACAACTTGCAACAGATATCCGATGAGGAGAATAGCTCTTATTCATATAATTATTCTTTTATCCATATATTAATATTTGTCAATTCATTACTAGTAAACATTGTTGACCGTAGCAACTTACGATTAAATGTTTTTTTTTTTAATTGTTAAGTTACATCATTATCTATATAATATTAATTTAATGATCACGTGCATACGTGTATTTGTAAATAATATTATATTGTACGTATATAAGCAGCTAAGTATAGTAAAATATGCTAATATTCTCTATGAAAGAGTCATTGTGTAGTTATAAAGCTATTATTACATTTTTCGGTTTAAAAATAGAATTTTCAAATGAAAAAATAGACAAAAAGTACTCTATATATCTATTTAAATAATATTTTATCAATACTATTTAATTAACAGTTACGCAAGTACTTAAAACAGTTATCAATTTAAGCGAGTACCTACTATATACCTACTATTAATCACGTGAAATTTAAGTACATGAAAAGAAGTTGTATTTCAGCGCTATAATAACCAATATGCTGCGTACATCACAATATGGAGATGAACTTTTGTAACGTTAAATACGAAATCGATGGAAAGCCATTGCTCGTACGATGAAAACATCCTTCAGCGATTTTCGATGCATTGCGATATAAGTAAAATCAAATAAAAAATTAACATAGTTGAGGCACTCATGAATTTCAGATACAGTTTAAGTGTTTTTAACCTTGAGCGTAAATGTCAAGACTTAATAGTTAAAATCAATATTCTGTTCAAATAAAACCTTAAATAAAATTTATAAAATTTCAGTTCACCCATTCAATTTTTAAACGTTTGGATAGTAAACGGTTTAGAAGCTGTTTTTTTATCAATTTAAACTACGGTTGGAATATATACTATATATAGTATATATATTTAGTAATATGTTTTGTAGGTAATCAAAAGTATGATTAAGTTTTTTTTTTTTTTGTTTATAAATTAAAAAATTAAATTTTGAAGGACGACATAGTGTACTGCTCCATGTAGATTCAAAAAAGGTTATAGGAAAATCATCAACATCTAACGTAGCAACAATTCAAAAGACGATCGAGAGCCCTGCGGAACAAAATATCACATCTACCGGGTTTTCAGGCGCTGTGAAATCTGATGTTAGTGTTGTATTAGCTACTATGATAATGAGAATACGAGATTAATCTGATGATTTGGTGCCGGTGCGAGCTTTGTTATTTGCTGGATCACAAATTTCGACCATTACCAATCAATGCGCAATTAAATTCGGTTTACCACGTCACAAGGGATGAATCGAGATTAGTGGTCTGGCCCAGCAATCTTTACGGATTGTAAAAGGGTCAACCAATTGTAGTTTTATTCCATTATTGTATGATGCACCACAAATATCGGCCATCAACATCGTAATTCTACCAAAAATCACCACCTTTATGCCGAGTTAAAAATTACCCATTTCAATTCGTGAGCAATACGGTTATCTTCCACTTGCTGACCTTAATTTTGATGTGCCAGGCCCAGTAGACATGTTGATTGGAGGGGATTTGTACTCATTCATTCTAGAATTACAGCCGGATATTATCTATCGTCCGGGTCTGCCCTCAGCCTTGCAAACGCAGTTTGGATTGGTAATAGTCGGAGCCATACAAGGGTCAAAAGTATGTTTTACAGCTTCATCGTTGACAGTCCATGCGACATCAGAAGATCTTGATATAGGAGAGCTCTTATAACGGTTTTGGGAAGTTGAAGAGCCTGATACAATTAGTGGCACAAACACGGAAAACGACGCCTGTGAAAGATACTTTCAAGACACTGTATCGAGAGATACTTCCGTCGGTTTTCATCATTAACAAGAATGTAACGAATACTCACGTATGTATGGCGCTTCATTAACCTGTGTAAAGAAAGGCCTATAATTAGAGGTTCACTTACTGGAATTGAACTCAATCGATCGCTTCTTACTATTATTAAGCTCACGCAAGATTTTTATTGGGAGGGTTTACGAAAGAGGGTTTACTGTTAGTGCTCTTCACGCCGGTCCAAAATTAGTTATGGCCATGATTCAAAGGAAATACTGGATTGTATAGAAACGAGCAGCCATTCGGAAAATTGTACATGAATGTGTTAGATGTGTGTGCTATAGAGCAGCGTGTCCACAGCCAGGAGACTTGCCACAACAACGAATACAACTTCATCGCCCATTTGCATTTGTCGGTATGGATTACGGTGGACCATTTATCGTGAAAGAAAGCCGTCGACGAGGTGCTAAGACTAATAAGGCTTATCTTGCTCTGTTTGTATGTTTGTCGGTTAAGGAAATCCATCTGGAAGTAGTAAGCGACTTATTTACGGATGCGTTCCTTGCTGCCTTTGATCGCTTCACTGCTCGCCGTGGAATACCTATTGAAATACGTTCTGATTGTGGAACAAATTATGTAGGTGCTGCTCGACAATTAAAATCGTTATTCAATGAAGCAAAAACCCAAGATACACTTCTAAGTATGATCCCATGCCAGTGGTATTTTAATCCATCCACTGCCCCTCGCTTTGAAGGAATCTGGGAGGCGGCAGTAAAAAGCGTGAAGACTCATCTGAGAAAAGTCATCGGTGATCAAATATTGACATCAAAAGAATTGACTACGCTAATTATTCGCATCTAAGGGATATTAAATTAGCGTCCACTCATAAGTGTCTCCAGTGACCCTAATGATTTATGTGTATTAACTCCGGGGCACTTTCTAAGAGGACAACCCCTCATGGCGATTCCAGAACCTAACTTGATGGACGTTAAAATCAACCACTAACTAGATGGAAATTGATCAAATAAACACAATAATGTTTCTGGAAACGGTGGACAAATGAGTATCTTCAGACATTGCAAAGCCGCCAAAAGTGAACATGCCAAGATCCTAACTTAAACGTCGGTGATTTGGTAGTCTCCAGGACGGCCATTCATGTCATGGCAATTGGGAAGAGTGATTGACGTTCATCCAGGTGCAGATGAAGTTGTTCGCGTTGTGATAATGAAGACATCTGAAGGAACTTTAAAAAGTCCAGTAGTGAAGCTGGTAAAGCTGCCTGTATCATGATCAGGAGGTTTCTCTATCAGCTAACATTTGTATTATACTAGTATTTTTATTATATTTTTTATTATTTTTTTTTATTTTTTTTTTTTAAATTTTTCTCGTAAAAGGTACAAAGGTACGTAAAAGGTTGCCGCGTGTATATTTTGTGATATCGTGTTATTTACGTTACGTTGGTGGTTGCTACGTAATATATATCGTCGGCTGTTGTAGTGGCGCAGTACGCGGTATATTTGTTTATTATTCATTTATTGATATAATAATTATTTTTATATTTATAATTATTCATTATTATTTTATTTTATTTTATTCTTATTACATGTTTCATTTATTAATATATATTATAACCTTTACTTGATTGTATTTTTTATATACGTAAGAAAGGTGTATATATACAGTCCACTTTTTTTATCGGAGTTTGGTAACCCCGAGCAAATAGACTTGTTCGGGATTTCGCTCACACAATACTAGAGATGGTAATTATTCGAATATTTGAATATTCGAATATACTAATTCGAATAGGTCTACCGTAAATAATTCAAATATTCGAACATTCGAATATCAGTATTCGATACTACAATATAATACGTAAAGAAAATTATTCGTTATAGTTTTTGCGCAACACAAAACGTTTAATAATAAAATTATATGGCTTATGGTGCATAAAGGCCTGCGAGAAGTGGATTCGAATTTGATTGATTCCATTGATAGTTACTAATTGACTGAACAATTAAAATACAAAAATAAAAATTGTGCAAAATACTCGAATATCATAATTAAATTATTATTAATACATAAAATTATTATTAGCGAGCATCACTTAAAAAGAGATACTGCTTACAACAAACAAAACGTTCGGTCTCGTCACGGTACATATGATTGAATGTTAAACAGTGCATTTTATAAGGAATTTTCACTGGACGAAAAAAAAAATGTTTTTCTCAAAATAGTCAATGTAATACCATAGTACGATTATAGTATTACACGTTTGTTTCGCATTATTTCGCCCAATCTTTCAAAATATTGTCGACAGAGTATAATCACTGGGCGACATTTGTATCGCCTAGTTAACTAGTTGAAAAATACACTGATGTTAAAATATACATCTACAACGAATATGTTTATTACAAGTTATCGGCTATAATGAGTAAAATAAAGCTAACTACGAACAGGTACTTGCAGGATAAGAACTATTTTCGTATTTAGATCGATTAATCATTGACATACATTATCTTTAGTTGTGTAGATATGGATTACTTATTAACAGGGCTTGGAAGTTGTAGCACTAAAAATGTTACTTTTTAGCTCTTAAATATGCACTTAAAAACTCTAAAATATTTACTATAAATAGCACGAAAAATCAAAAAATATGCATTTAAATTGAAAAAATGTAATTTTACAAATTTGTGTGCTCATTAGACACAGTCTGGACTGATTGAATTATAAACTGTTAACAAAAACGTTAAATTACTTTAATCTATTTGTAAAAATGTACTTATTATTAAATTATTTTAGATATTTACCTTGGAAATTATCATAGATTATTAAAATATTTGATAATCTAATGCAATAACAATGATGTCACTAACTATTAATACATCAAATTGTCGATGAAAACATAAAATAATATTTGATGAGGTCTATTTATTTCCAATAATTAAAATATTTTTTTAAAAACATAACCAAGTAAATACAATTATTATCAACAAAATATAATTATTTCCTACATTATGTGAAAATATACCCAAAAATAGTACTATAAACCCTAAATTAATAAAATACCAATAAAACCCGTAAATATGCAATAAATAACAAAATTAAATTTTGTATATGATATTCGAGTAGTGAGAAACATATTTGTATCTTACTTTGGATGTTCTAAGATGAACCAAGAAAAATATACATTTACTAGAACTTCTGAGCCCTGTTTATTAATAATAAATAGTATAAAAAGCGTAGTATTAAAAAACGAACAAAAAAATTAGGTATTGTAGCATCGAATATTGATATTCGAATGATCTAATATTCTACTATACATTACATTACTAATATATACATCTATATATATATATATATATATATATTATTGATTGTAAAAAATTGAACTTAATATCAAAAATAAAAAAATTACAATCGTTTAAATATTAAATGTTGATAAAACGATAACATTTATAAAAATTCCCTACTGTCTTGTAGTTGAAAATTCATAATATTTCAGGGTAATTAATTTAAGAAATTTTATAACAGTGAAGCCCGCGCCCCGCGAAGATATTCAATGTGTGCCGTTACATTTTTTTTTTTTTTAAATGAAACAAAATATTGAAAAAAAAGTATTACTTAGTATTAATAAAGTAAATTATAAAATACGATTTTTTTTTTATATTTACCAACTTTATTTTTGAGCATTTTCAATAGAAATTTCATGATATATAACCCGTGCACTTAAAAGAGCGTATTGGTTAAATTTATGTATACCTACAGCGTGTATTTCGATCTGTAATATTTTTAGTAGTCAATAAAACAAAAACAAATTCGATATGTGCCTACATGTACAATGTATACTAACTATGTGTAACAAAATAACATTATTAGATTAATATTAATATTACTTGTACTTTTATATTTAGTGGCTCGTCCTAAGATAATTGTTTACCAAAGTGGCTCGTAATGTAATTTTTATTCCCAGCATATTACTCCATGATTATTATCTTGGTATTTTCATCATTTTTTTAAATCTGTTATCGTTATGATTACAGCTGGGAATTTAAAGTTCTAAAAAATAGCAAAAAAAACCAAAAATATTTATAAATTCTATAGAAATGCGATTAAAAATGTATTTTTTTATAGTTTAAAAATCATGTTACCAAACATATTTAGTTAACATAATAATAATAAAACAGATACCTATTTGTTTAAAAATGCAAAATAAAAACTACATTAAAGTAAAAGTAATCAGTAGCACTTGAAACACATTTCCTGCTTACGGAGCTACGAACTTGGACAGTAGAAAAAAAAGATGTATTTACATCAAAATCCTAGCTCTAATCATGATAATTGTTAAACTTCAAAAGCATGAAGCATCCATAAATTCTATAATTGACAATTGGTTACGTGTAATTTAAAGAGCGTAACAGCTTTTGAGGGATGAGTATACCTATAAGATGATAAACAAAAATGAATATGGAAAAAGGATATGATATCTGTAGTTGAGTAGAGGATACGAAAACTGATATTTCAAGGAATGTTCATAGAGCCTTTAAGAATAGTGAAGACAAAATTAGTATGAGCCTTATCGTGACGAGAGCAGAACAAAAGTAACTAGTTACACCGCGGGTGATTAACATTAAGAACCAAGGCTAAATGTGACTGAAATTAATTTTCGACACATTCAATCCTTAGTTCATCTTTAGCTAAATAGAGATGCCAGAATAAGGAGCCCATATAAACCAGAGCGAAGTAAAATGTATGGTGGCAATTGATGGAAGAAATTATGGACTCTTCCATATAACGATGTTTATATATAATTAAGCGTGAACGTATGGGGAGATTCAAATATATATAATATAATGAGTGATAAATCATTCTATTTATCAACATTTTACTTTTTACATTTTTTTTAAACCACTCTACATATTTTCCTGCATTTACCGCTGCATATGGTGATCAAAATGTAGCTATATTAGTATGCAATATACGAGTATTATTACATTCATACTTTTTCTTTATAACTTAAATACATGTATGGATAAAATTAGTTTGTGAAATGTACTAAATACAATACACTTTAAAAGTATAACTATCGGTAGACAAAAATTGTTCATTTCAATAGCTAAACCCTTGCAGTTCTCAGCAAACGATTTTCATTGTTTATATAGTATGTACACAATATTTAAAGTTATATGTTATAGTTATAAACTAGTATATTATACATAATAATTGACGGTTGATTCATAACAATGAAGTGTTTAAAACTGCATAAAATAAAATATTGCATTCGAGTTGCATGTACGAGTAGATTAGAAAAATTAAATTATATACATTTTAATAATTATAAGTTTAAATAATATTCATTATTAAAGCATGACCACCCGACATGACATACTGTATATTAGTAAAAAAACCTTCATCCATATTTTCTAACATTTGAATCGATTGTTTTTCAATTTTAATATTCAAGTGATATTTTAAATAAACAACTAATAAGTATGACATTGTAATAATTAGTACCCTTGGTGTATGCACATTTAAAAAAAAAACCTTGGCCTGTTCAAATAAAGGGTACATGCGCCAATATTTTGATGGTATTGCATACATATCATTAAGATTATTATTACATTATTTCTAATTTTTTTTTTTTTTACGTTATTATCTTATTGAAACATTACTGTATGGCAATAATTATGTTGACATAATTTTATTAAGTTGATAATTTATTTGTTTTCTAAACTTTTAAACTCTAGAACAATTAACATTATTATGCAGACATCTAATGCATATTTTTTATAATAGACAATTCGTTGCCCCGTACCGACATAATTGCTGTGCAAGTATACGACTAAAATTCTAACCGATATAAT